CACCACCACTAATTATAGTTGATGACTAACAAGAATATGAAGTAGACATCATTTTAGAGCATTGCTACCTTTGCTATGGTAGTTGGCATCCACAACTTCAATACAAAGTTCTTTGGAAAGGTTATCCCATCCACAATGCATTGTAAGAATATGTACAAAATCTCATCCATTGCCAAGAGATAATTTGGAAATACCATTGGAAGCAAAAAGAGGACATTCCTCATTAATAGAGAAGGATTAATTGTAATAGGGTATAGATAAGATATTTGTATTATTGACACATAGGGATAAATAGTTAAAACCATAGAAGTTTCTAGAATTTGATTTAGGTTAGTAGACCACGTAGGATCTATTGTAAAACATTTAAGAAAGAATTTAAGATGATTATTTAGATAGGATCTACCATAAAACTTTCTAAAAAAAATTTAGAATGATTATTTATGTAGGGCCTATTATAGAACCTTCTAGAAGGAGTTTAAGGTAGTTATCTAAGTGGAATCTAATACCTAGGAATATTTTAGAAAATCTAGGGTAGTAGAACAAAGTATAAATAAGATTAGCCAAGGTATTTTGGAGCATCTGATCAGGTATAGCTTTGGATCTTTTCTCTTAATATGATTGAATTTTATATCTTCTTGTTTTGTTCTCTTTTGATTTAATTTTGATTACTTAGTTTTGTCTTTTGTGTCCCATTCTATTTAGTTCTGTTCAATTTTGTTTTGATCTAGTTTGACCTATCTTGTGATGAGGTTTTATGTTACTATGGATTAGAAGGATCTTGGATACTTAAAATAGATTGGTTATGTTTCAACTAGGAGCTATATGATAATATCTTATAGGACCTCTAAAATGTATTGATTTTATAAGATATATATCTTAACTTGTAAGGCAAGTTTTCTATATGTATGATACATAATTAGTTTCTTCCAAAAGCTACCAATAGGTGATTAAGTTATTGATTAAGTTTCTAATCTATCAATCAACTATAAATACATGTAAGGTTAAATTAATTTCTATGAAGCTTCTAAAAAACACCTTTAAAAAATATATGAAATAAATCTTCTGTTATCTATTTCTATTTAATCAAATAAATAAATATTAGAATGATATTTGATTTTGATGTGTAATTGATAAGCACTTTGGAATGATTATTTTGATGTGGCATGTTGTATTCAAATACTTACAATTAACATTGCATTATATCTTTTCAAGCATTAGAAATTTGTAGACCAAGCACAAATCTTCAAAAACTAAGTAAATAAGGTTAATTACAAAGCATCTACAACAATACTTGAAAAAAAAATACTTATACATCTTAAATTTCTATAAATTATTTTAGCAAGCAATAAAAAAAAATTGAACTAATAATGACTTTTAGAATGGACATTAATACACCAAATAATTACTTCTTGTTTTACCTTCCTTACAACTTGGCTGTTATTGTCTAAAGGTATAGCCTTTTCTTTTCTTTTCAAATATCTAATCTTTCACATTTACTTATAATAGTATTCTTTTGCTACAATTAGAGAATGTGATATTGTATTGTAATAAAACTATTAGGTAAAAGAAATATATATATATATATATATATATATATATATATATAGTATAAAAGAACTTAATTAAAATTATTGTAGCAGATTACCTTAGAAGTATAAATAATAGTCAATGACATAGTAAAATTGGTAAGTGTTAATGTTGCCTCTTTACAAAATAGACTTCTACTTATTTTCTATAACTATTAATGAAGTAATACAAAGTAGATAAAAAAATTAAAATTAAATAAAATTAAAATTAAAAAAACTATTATAAGTATCTTTAAATATATATATATATATATATATATATATATATATATATATATATATATTTGTAGCAAAATTTATCTTAAAAAATCAAGAATTGATATCTAAAGAGGACCAATCGTGAATCAAGGTCAAAATCAAATCCTAAGGCACAAAACTGCTTATATCTATAGAAATTTTAGGATTATTTGGTTGATTAAAGATAAAGATTTGAAAGAAAAATAGAGAGAGGTTTTTAAAGTATTGGTTTTGAGTTATTTAAGTTTGTAATGAATTTTTAAAGACTTTACAAAGTTACAAGTTTTTGGAATACTTCTGGTTTTTTGAGAATTATAAAGGATTTATACTTTAGAAAATTTTAGAACATTGATAATAGGTCTATAGATGGAATTTTGTAGTTATATAATCATAGTTGTTTTAAATGTGTATTATAAATTTGAACTAAATTAAATAGTTCATTTAAAGGTTATTAAAATTAAAATATATTAAAATCTTAGAAATTAAAGTTTGAAGGACTAGTGAAGATTTCTAAGAATTGTAAAAATACATTAGTTGGATTGAAGTAAAAATTTGTGAACTAGTAGCAAACTTAATTATCTACAATAGTTATAATTTTAAAAGCAATTAAATAATAGAATCAAGAGATTCTAGGTCTAGAAAAGTAGCATCAAGGTTGGAGAAGAAAGTTGGCATACACTTAAGCAAATTATCAAGATTATTTCATATTTTTATAGTTAATCTTCTTCAAAATATTTTTTCTTATTTTTAATTTATAGATTGAAAGGTGTATAAATTTTGAGTTTAAATCAAAAATTAAATTATTAATTACCAAGGTTTTACTTTTTTTTCAAGATTTGATGAGATTTTATTAGGATTTTACTAATATTTAATTAAAATTTGATTAATATTTAAATTTTAGGATTTGATTAGTAATTAGAATTTAATATTTTATTAGTAATTATAATTTAATATTTAATTAATATTTGATTTAGATTTATTTAGGATTTATTTAAGATTTTATTAAGATTTATTTTGAATTTTATTTTTAATAATTTTAAAGAATTTCTTTATTATTTCTTTGGATTTTCATAAAATTCTTTAAGATTTTTTTTTTTCTTTTATGAAAAATTTAAGAATTTATTTGGATTTGATTAGAATTTTTAAGATTTAATTGAAATTTATTTATGATCTTATTAGAGTTGTTAAGACCTTGTTCTTACAATCTCTAATTTATTTTCTAGAGCAAATTGTCTAATGCATTCTCAAATAAGATTTTACATAATATAACAACAATGCTCTTCCAAGAATAGTATTGTGTTGAAAAGGCAAGTGATAGCTTTGGAACTTAAGTTGAATGAACTTGTTGTCATTGATTGATGAGATTGCTTATCTAAAAAATAATGATATCTTTATCAAGCTCCCCGAAGTTGTCATTCTCATTTGTTATGGCATCAACTTGGCTAGTAAAGAGTTGCAATAATTGATCATAAAATCAATTAAATAAACAAAATTTCTATATAATTTGATATTCTTATATGTCTCTTTGCTCTTTGATATGATATTAATGCAAATAGTGCAAAGCTCTTCTCAATTAATTGTTTATCTTAATCTAAACAATACAAAATTTCAATCAAGTAATTGTTCATGTCCTTTCATTCAATAACCAATATTACTACACAATTACAAAGCTATCAAGTTCTTTTGCAAATGATTGTGAATTAATTAAAATAAACAAAACCAATACAATCAACAAACTTGTTAAGATAGAAACTTCATCCAAGTATTATTATCCATACAAAATCATTTAGAAGAGAATTAAGACATATTAACAAACAACTTATATTCTTCTAACTTGGCCAAAATTACTCTTGCCATTTCAAGCATTTTATGCAATAATTTCCTTCCTTCTTTATTGTTCCAATCTCCTCCATCAATTCCTCTAAACTTTGCTCAATCTCCATCCTATTTTCTTTCTCCTTGTCCACAACCACGCCCTCTACTAATTTTTATATAGGTGCCACAACCACCTTACTCATCATCCTTTGCTCATTGTATCATTTCTACAATCCTACCTCACATCTTCTATTGCACCAATTCACAATTGCCTCCACTCCAAACCATAGCCAATTCTCCTAAGTCAAAATTATACCTCCAGTAACACTACATTATTGATGCTCCACCACACCTTTGATTGTGCTTGGATTGCAATGCACACATCCTTCTCCATGAAGAAAGGCTGGAAAAAATCCATTTTAATTTGGTTAGTAAAAAAACTATAATTGAATCCCAATAACTTGGTTCTTGGAGATACCCATGCCTCAACCACTTTGCATTCATTAAGCTCTCAAAATCCTTTCTCAACATCCAATCAAAATGTGTCTTTGTCAATATCTAATATAAGTGTCAATTAATTTTATTAATTATTCTTACAATTTTTTAGCAATATCCTATTAATATATTTAACAAGTATAAAATCTTGTATGTTAACCAATTTTTTTAAATTTTGAATAAATTTTATTGAATCTAAAAATAGAAAATTAAGATTTAAAAAAGATTTAAGCATAATTGTATATTAATATTTTTTGAATTTTAACAAATTTTCTGTGCAGGAAATTGATTCAGTAAATTTATTCAATAGGTTTGTAAAATAAAAACTTAAATAATTCAATAATCAATCGAAGTCATTGATTCCAACATCATTCTAAACTGTGATTACTTTTAGAGTAGACTTATCAAACCATTAAGTTTAGCAAAAACAATGAATAATAATAATAATATAAAATACAACATAATAAAAAAATAACAACAATCAATTTTTTGAAAAAAAAAAAAAAAAAAAAAAAAAATCTATATAGAAAAATATAAAAACACTCTTTGCATTAGCCATATTGCACACAAAATGTTTTGTTTTACATGTAAGTGAATGCAACTTTAATAACCAAATTCTTTGTATAAATAGAAGTTTTAAAAAATAAATCAACAACCAAATGTAACATAGCTTTTTCAAATCAAGAAACAAGAAAAAAGTAAAACACTTGTTTTGTATGTAGGGTACTGAACTTTAAAGTGGATTTATAATAACTCATGCTTTTTTTCTTATCTTTTCTTTTTAAATGTGATTTTATTTTCTAATTATTTCCCACCAGCATCTTCAACCCCCCTTGGAAATTAATTGCCAACACCCTCATTCTTTGCTTAGTCTTTCCGTAGTCCAATCCCCGGTTTAGAAATCCTACTCTTGAGGAGACACATGTTTATTATGAAGCACATCCGCCTTAGCAAAGACAGAATCAAAATCGGAGGCGTTAATTCCAAGGCGGGCCAAATAATGGCGGTGGAATGTGTTCGAAACGAACGGGATCGGAGGTCTTGCGGTGTGGGGCAGAGGAGTGGTGTTGCAAAACTCACAAAAACGCAGAAATTCGATAGAGTGGGAGTGCCGCAGGTTAAATCGGAAGGTTGTTCCGAGTTGGGAGAGGGCGTAAGTGTTGCTTTGTTTGGTGGTTGATAGGGGGCTGGCATTAAATCCTAGCTAGGTTCACCCGCTCTCCCCACCGATCTTTTCAGGGTGTTATATACCATCGACAAGCGCCAGATCATTTCTAGTGATGGATCAGAACGACTGGAGATACGAGTTGGGGCTGTTGTGCCTTTTGATTTTGTGAAATATGGTTCATTGGAGATATCTGAAGGGTTGGAAGATTGTTTTTACGAGATGGATGAGGAGAGAGAGCTGGAGTGTGATTGCAATGGAGCACACGTACTCGTCAAGAATCAATTCAATGATTACACTGATTGTGGATCTGGCACAAACCTGATTCTTGTTCTTCACAAGTTGAGCATCTTCTTGTTTTGGTTTGCTTTGGTATTGTTTCTGACATCGAGATGCATTCATGATTGTCCGAAGGGTTTTGTTATTGAACATTGTTCAGAATCGGGCACATTTCGCAATGCTAACTTGCTCTTGCAATTTGGGGTAGTGTATCAAACGGGGCCCATCTTCCTTAACTGTGATCACTCAGGTTGGTGTGACTCTGGTACCAAAAAGTTCAGGAATCAGAAAAGGCGTACCTAAAAGGAGAGCTCGACGTGTTGCCTTTATACAGTGTCAACGTAATGCCAATATTGAACGCTCTATAAACTCTAGGGATTGATGTTGCACTATCCAACAGCACGCGTAAGATTGCACGGTGCAGAACATGCAGAGTAGTTTTTTGAACTTCACCTCTTTTAAAAAAGCTGCAAACAGACTGTTAAGTCGGATGGAATCGTCGTCCGCATCCTGTGTAGTGGTGCAACTGGGCCAGGGAGGAAATCAGCTCTATACTTCCTTCTTCACTGCTCTCGCCAACTTATCTAATCCAACCATGCAGAATAGCGGGTTTTTCAGAGAGGGTACTAAGGGAGGCCGTGTAGCGCGGGCTGTTCTCATTGACATGGAACCAAAGGTACATACATTTGCAGTTTAATATTGAGGAAAAATAATCTATGACCCCCTTCGCCTTCATTGAAGAAGGAATGTTGACTTTTTGCTCCTGCATGTAAATTTTTGTGATGTGGAACTACTCTCTTGAAGGTGATCTCGTCAGCAATAAAGCGAGTAGAAGGATTGAATCAGCGCAGTGAAACATCTTGGAAGTTTTGCCCATATCGTCAGGTGACGCAAGAGAGCGGGTCAGGAAACAATTGGGCTCGAGGGTACTACGTCCATGGGCCACGATGCAGCGAAGCAATCTCAAATGTTATTCGGCTTGAGTTAGGTCCTTACACCCATAATTCTCTCACTGATCATACAATTCTTTTTCTTTGAAAACCAGTCAAACTGCAGAGGTGTGTGCTTTTAGCTATGCAGCAAAGCGTCCTGTGGAGATCCTTAATCAGCTTTAACACTGCTCTACTCGTTGAATGTGCGCTCGTAATTTTCAGCCCACACGAGAACAGCAGGTGGTGCTAAGATGAACTTATTAAAATCAACCGGACAAACTTGCTCACGGTAACTTGCTGCCCAAAAATTATGTTAGGAGAGTCGCTGGTTGTTCTGTAAGCGCCTGATCACTATACATTTGGGCAAGTGATCCGGGTGCACATCCGAACCTCAAGACCTGGCTCTTCTGCTTCATAGCATGATTCAAATCAATTTTTTCAGGTGGAGGCATGTGACATGTTTGGTGGTTTTCTGACCGCACAAAGCATGGCTGGCGGTACTGGTTCCGGCCTTGGTATGTGTTCACAGTTTCTTCATTATTCATGGGATGTGCGTAATGTGGAATTCAATCACTTCTAAATCCAGCTTTAGGTTCCCCCCATTCCCTTTAAGCGAAAGTGGCCTACTTCCATGCACATGCAGGTGCATACGTGACAGAGCTGCTGAAGGATGAGTACCCATCCAAATGTGTCCTGAGCCACTGCATCTGGCCATATGAAAGTGGCGAGGTCATTGTGCAGAACTACAATGCGCTGCTCACACTAGCGAAACTCCAAGAATCGGCCGACGGCATCATCATCTCGCAGAATGATGCCCTCTCGTCTATATGTAGAAAAACTCTTGGAATACCAAGGTCGTCTTTTGATCACATGAATGACGTGGTAGCTAATTCTCTGGCGTCCATATTCCTCCCTGCCTCATGGCGAACAGTTTGTCCCTCTGAACGGAACGAGCATCCCCGAAAGACATTCCGAGACAAAGGTCAATATGAGGATGAGGATGGTATTAAGGGTGGAATATACGGAGCTGGAATGCCTGTCCGCTTACTATCCGATTTGGTGTCAAAATTGTGTGCTCATCCTGGATATCGCATGCTCTCTTTGAGATTTACTCCACAGGTAAGTCATTTAATGCAACACCTTATTCTCCCAGAAAGTTTTCTTTCAGGGCACAATCCTCTGCCATTATGACGAAGCTGAATTGTTTGGTTGTATTTGAATAACTGCAGATTTCAAATAAGTCATTGAATTTCACCACCTTCAATTGGGGAGCACAAATTAAACAGTTACAACAAATGCTTATGACTGAAGCTCTTGGAGATTTTGATCTGGACTTGATCTTGCCGTCAGCAAAGAAAGATACCTTGTTGGGTTCAAAGGTGTCACGATTCGGTAACACCCCGAATGTCAACCGATGTCTTGCCAACATGTTAGTGTTGAGGGGAAGCGGTAGCCTCACCGCAGATGTGAGCAGATTCGAGCACGAGAGCCTTTACCCTGTCTGGTCAGTGGATCACTTGAGCGTCGCTGTGAATCCTGCCAAGCTCGGCAAGTATGAAATGTCAGCAGGTTTACTATGCAATTGTCAGTCGACTGTAATGTGCACATTCAGGGCTCTCTCCAGGGCGTACGGGATGTTTGCATCACGAGCATACTTGCACCAGTACTTCAAGTTTGGCATGGAGATCTCGACGTTCGAGGAAGCTTTTACGACTGTGGAAGATATCATTTCGCGCTATCTCGCTCTATAATTGATCTCCATACACAACATTCCGTGATTATCATCGTCAGCATTAGATGAGCTGTGCCGGATGTTTAGATTAGATGTAGTACAATAATTAGTGCATGATATTTTTTATTTTTTCTAGTGCAACCACACTGTGAAATCAGAAATCCATTCAAGTCAAGTTAATACAAAATCTCTGTAAGAACCATGTGTAAATTTAAAATAATTTGGTAAGATTTCTTTGTTAATATGAATGCTCATGGCTAGTGTAATAATATTTCATGCATTATCATCCATGCCACGCAATTACCATTTTTACTGTATTCTCTTATTTTACCTTTTATAAATGCAATGCTGATGATCATACTAAATTTTATTTCTACCACCATTCGACTAAATACAAATTCTATGGCAAAGGATTATAAATGTAGCCTTCCAAAATTTACGGAATGTTGTGTATGGATCCATGATAAAATCATTTTATCAAAATAAATGTATCATGAATATTAACATAAGCAGTAAACCGTCTGACTATTTAATAGGGTATTATTTGTAAAAGTGTAGAATAAAATCAATATTGTACTTCCGCTGCGATTGTTTGTGAAATTTCAAAGCCTTCCAGATTTTAAATGAACAAGAAAATTGTTTCTAAAATAAATTTTCAGCATATAAGAAAGAAGAATAAAGGAAAAGGAAAAGAATTAAATGTTATAATTTTGTAAAATGAAAAAATTACTAAAATTCTTATTTTATTAACTCATCATATAAAAAGTTAAAAATATCATTTGAAGGAATAAGAAAGCAAGGTTTGAAATGCCCAATTTTTTTTCTTTCTGAAAACATCAAGATTTTAAAGAACAAAGAATTCATAAAAATATAAACTGTTGATGTTTACTAATATAATGCTTATCTTGAAGCAAAGTTGAGTCAAGAAAATTTTGGATTCATTGAGTTGGCACAAGTAATACATTTAGACTTTTTTGATTACATATCGAAGATGAGAATATTTGATGAGGGAAATTATAAAAACGATACATAAAAAATTTCAAACATAAAATTATAAAGTAAATTCAGATATTGTACAGAAACTTTAAAATCCAAAGTTTAAAATATTGTTTAAAAACGTAAGAAAAATGAATTATATGCACACACACACACACATATATATATATATATATATATAGACGTATGAATAAGTGCTTTTTGCTATAAAAAATTATGTTATCCTCATTATTTATAAAATAGTTTAAAATCTACCTTGGTTTTTTTTATCACAAAGATATGAAATAAAGCATTCACCACTTTATAATCATGAGTAAAAACCACATTTTCACATATTTATTGATTTGAATCCCATTGACTAAGCTCATTCTGAGTGTATTTTTAGTGGAAACAAAATAAAATAAAATAAACCCACATGATTAAGTTTGGACTTTATTTCTAAAACCTCCAAATAGAATATAAATTTTTAGCAATCATTTCATTAGCATATTTTAGAAACTCCAAAATTTTCCAATTAAATTCATGTGCTTCGACAATTCCTTATTTCTTGCATATTCTAAACTCAAAATGCACCTCAATATTCACGTAAAGATATTCCAACAAGCATTCTTCAGAAATTATCAACAAAAAAGGAATTTTGTATACTTTAAAAGCCAAATGACAACATACTATGATAACAAAGATATGAATGTTTTATTTAAAATTTTAATTTTTTAATCTTCTTCAGAAAAATAGGTAATCATCATTGGTTTCATACGCACTCACAATCAATCAATAAATCATTAAATAACTAATTATTTCATAAGAATGCCATTTAGAAAAACCATGCTGACCTGGATTTAGACTAACATTTGAACATGCCAGCTGGAGGGGTCAAGTTATGCCATGTCAGCATCCTCCATCCTTCCCTTGCTCCTTGCCATCATTGAACCTTCCTGGAAGCTGCGGCAAATGTTGGGTGGAAGCTTCTAGAAAGGCAGTTATTTGATGGACTGCCTGATTAGCTTGCCCCACTTTGGGCACAAATTCAACTTATCATGATCTGATTATTGTTATTATTATTATTTGTTGTTGTTGTTTTTGTTGAGGGGTTGAAAATCTAGTCACAAAAACACCCATGGCTCTATTCCACAAGCAGGTAGATGGAGAACACTTCTTATCATTCATTCATTGGATGATATGCTGTTTTTCGTTCGTTGAAGTGGAGCTGCTTTTGGGAGTTTGGATTTTGACATGTTTCCAATGGTCGTGGAAATTTTCCTTCCAAAGTTCCATGTGGTTATGAATATGGAATTTATGCTCATGAAGCAATTGCCAAAGATAAATTGGATAAAATGAAAAGAATGTTTAGCATTTTTTTTTTTTTTTTTTTTTTTAACGTTATTGTGATTTACTTGTGTTTATTCATCAATAAATAAATGAATAAATAAATATAAAGAAAGAAAGAAAGAAAGAAAGAAAAAAGAAAACCTGTTTAACTAATTTGCCACACAATATAATAGAATTATTTCACTTGAATTATCTATTGAAGTTTTTGAAATCTGTTATATTCTTCCTTTCAAAATTTCAATGTAAATTATAGAATTTTAATTTTAATTTTTTTTTCTTACCAACATTCTTGGATATGAATAGGGATTTCATTGAAGGGCAAAAAATCAAAGGCAATCTTTCTTTTACATATTTGTATATATATATATATATATATATATATAAACAAACATCTATAAGCTTTATATTTTCATTTTATGTATATATATAAATTTAAATAAATAAAACTAATAAAAATATAAAATTTAAATTTATTATATATATAATTACACATGGTAATATAATTATATATGATAATATATACACCTATATATACATACATATATATATATATATATATATATATATATGAAAATATATATTGTTAGCTATGAAGAAGCTATGAAATTATAATTTGTGGTTGCTAAGTCAAAATTTGATGACTTTTAAAGAAATATTGATTAAGAAAATAAATAAATAAATAAAATATATGCATAACAATGGAATCATTTGTATTTCTTCATTGGAATTGGCAAACATTTTTTTTTATTACAATAATTTAAAAAGCTAAGTTGGAAATTTTTTAAGAATAAATTATATTTGTGATACTATTTTAGTCTTTATTATTTTTAGAATATTTAGTCTTAAATATATTGAGAGAAGTGCATTATAAAAGAGCAACATACAACTATCTATGTACAAATGTAAGGATTCTAAGATCTATTTCTATGTTTATTAATAATTGACTTTGAGATTTGTTAATAATCATTGTAAATCATATCTTTATTAAAAATTATATTTGTTACAATTTGAATGGAATCTTTATAATTGATAGGCATAATGTAAACATTGGATAAAAAATCAATTATTTCTTACAGTCTCTAAATAAAAGTCTTATCTTTATAACTTAATCAATTAGCTTTATAATATTCATTATTAATCAATTATCTTTATAACCCAATAAATTAGCTTTATTATTAAACTAGAATGGCTATTTCCAAAGAGAAGAAGACTAAAAAGTCTTAAAACAAGACTAAGAATTAGAAAGACATTGACAACAATGAAGAAGGCTTAACTCTTGCTTCCATATATACTATCTAATTAAGAGCTATGTGGCAATGTTCTATAAGACCTCCAACATGTATTGACTTTGTAAGACACATATCTTAACTTACAAGACAAGTTTTTTTATATGTCTGCCATATACTTAGCTTGTTCTATAAGATATCAATATGTATGAGACATGTTTAACTTGTTAACTAAGTTTCTAACTTATCAAAAAACTATAAACATAAGTAAAGTCAAAACCATGTTTGTGAAGCTTCTAAGAAGCTTTTCTAAAAGTTATTATGAAATTAATCTACTTTTATCTACTTCTATCTAATTATATAGATTAATATTGGAATAAATATGTATATCCATGACAATACCATTGTTAAACAAAGTTGAAGATAAAATCTTTCTCTTGGAATAGGATCAATAAAATAAAAGCTTTCAATTACAAATCCACATTGTCTTATTGTCAACTTCTTTGATATATTGTTTTAGACAAAATATTGTAAAAACTCTTTATACTTGTATTGTCAAGCAATCTCTATAAATTCACATATTTCAAAAAATATTATCAATTTTTTTTTTTTCGCTACTCTCTACAAACTAAGATTTTAGCTGCATCATTATTTGGATCAAAAATTTATAGAGATTTATTCTAGGAAGATGTAATATCAATTGAATTGCATTTGAAACTTTTTCATGCATTTTCATTCCATACAAATGCCATGCTATCTTTGAAGCTCTAATATACAATGTATTAATACATTGTTTGTTATCATCCTCTCATTTCCATTGTTGTACAATCTTGCCCTTTATAAATGTAGTTATGAATATATAATACCATGTATGTTGAAAGTAGTGATAATTTCAAAATGACTATATTTATTGGATAAAAAGTAGAGTCCAATTTGATTTATTGAATTTCCCCTAGTACTCATTCATCTCAAAAGTGGATAAAACATAACAAATTTTTTAATGCATCAACTATTGATTCACTTCAAACAAATATGAACTGTGGAGTATTGTGAAATTTAAATTAAACATCACTATTCATTAGGAATAAAAGAACATTTCTAATTTGTGACTGCAATACAGACTTATTCGACAACACTTCAGTAACACATTACTCGCTTAACTAGTCCCCATGAGTAACCAACCACAAATGTTGTTGATGACTGAATAGAAGTTGACTTCATCCAAATGTAGATTTTTCAGGTACCTCTCGTTCCCTATTTTGAGCTGACTTCATCCATCCACGAACGCATTAACGGTTGACTTTTGTGCTCCACATGGAGTTGACTTTCCCACACAGTTTGACAAATGAAGTCGAAGGGGTGATGCAAAAGTCATCCTTCTTCTAGAACGAGGCATAAATCAATTAAAACTTTTGTTGGATGATAAGCTGGGAGGTTAGCTTCCAGGTGGGCAGTGAATGGGGGTGGATGTGTGTATTACAGCTGGTGCACGCCTTTCGACTCTGTTCGTTGAAAGTACAGATGAGAATTCTCGGTACTGTGGACGAGTGTCCACTATAAAAAGAAAAGTAAAAGTTACTGTGCACTTTTTGACAAAGAGTTGGTCTGTGAGATAAAAGTGTATCACTTGACAAGTATAAACAATGAACAAGGGGTTTGTGGTAACTAAGTAAATTTAGGGTTGCTATTTTAAGAGAAATTTTTAAATGGACTACACAAATACCGTTTTCATATTATTATTATTATTATTAATTTTTCTGTGTTGTATTTGCAAGTTGTAAAGTATTAGCCTTTAACTCAAAACTATTAATGAATAGAGTTGATGGAGACACAAAAAAATTAAAAAACTTTTCTAAATTCAAATAAAACTAGTTCCAAATTGCATGCTCATCAATAGTTTGGACATGTATATATGTACAGTGATCATTATTATCCACATAACATGCAGATATCTAAAATTCATCAGCTTTCTGGTTTCATATATATATATATATTGAAACACACATTCTAATGAATGCATGAAAGCCTTTTTATGATGTTATTACATATCAATTAATTTATTCACTAAGACATAATTTTGTGACTAACTCTTTTCTCTCTTAAATCGAGAAAAATGGTTTAATACTATATTATGATACATGTAATTAAAGAACATGTCAATAAAAAACCAAAGTTCTACATGGGCTTTTTTAGGTTTTCACTGAAACTATTGATGCTTAAATGTGAATTAGTAATCAACAACACATTTTAATTGGTTTCCAATACTTTGTGGTTTAAGCTCAACAACAATACAAGATTTTTAAATTTCAATATTAAAGACCGTGCAAACTCATGTGTTTATTTTATTTTCTGATTCTTTACCATCTTGACATGTTTTGAGATGATATATATATATATATATATACTTATAATGCTACATGATTTAAAATGATTATATGAACACAATATGCTTGCAATCTTTGATATAAAAGATCTACTCATCATTGAAACATTTCAGTAGACAAAGTGCAATTTTTGTCTATATCTATAAAAATATGACAACTAACTAATTTTAAAAAAATTAGAACTAAAGTTGACAATCAAGTACTGTGTGCAAGAATTTTACCAGAACTCTTAATCAAAACGGAAACTCTGAAGTAGGGTAATAAATATCACAGTCAGAAAAATAGATACATGGAAACAATTTCGCACACCTATACCCAAAAGATTTATCTAATTACCAAACACTATAATTAAATTAAATTAAATTAATTTGTTTCAAACCTCGGGAGAGGAGGATTTTCTTCCTCACCGAATCGGCCCCAGGAAAAGTTTCCACTGTCGCCATTGTCCATCACTAAAGTTATCTCGTCACTGCTCTGTGCTCTGATTCTTTTCACTTATCGAAATTGCTCACGACGAGGTGAAGGAGATAAGTTGCGCGCTCGATGTTTCGCAGCGACAAGTCGCGAGCTGAACTTCTGTATCTTGAGTCGCTAGTCCACCACTGCAATTGCGTCCTGCCTGATCTCATTAATGCCGTCCACGCCAGAAGTAATCGAGTTACCCAACTGATCCATCTACGGCAATCGTCATCGAGGAACTCGGTTTTGGTTCTTTGATTCCTGCGTCAATCTAAAACCTTCGAAGAGAATCGATCGCAATCTGGAAGATGCTCGTCGACACCAGCAGATGCACGCAAAATTTGGTTCAATTGATTACGTGTCACTGCACCTCGCCGTTTGCATTGAAGGGGAGGGTACGGGTAGTGATGTTGAATCTGACGTTATTGCAATGAATTAATGCTGTCAGAGGGAGTTGCTTGGCGACCTGAAGTTAATGCAGGAGGAAGAGGACTATGGGGCTATGTACTCACTGTGTGCGCCTCTGTTGAAGTGCTCTCTCTGAATCTCCTGTGCCAGAGCAAACGTGTTTTGCTCTGGGAGAGATGTAGTTAGAGAATTTAGGCGTGTTACGCATATTTGTACTGAGTGCACGCAGGGCTCCTTCAGATATGGTTTCGGCACGGGGAGTAGTTCGCAGGGGTGTGTTGAGAAAGAGGAGGCCAATGGACTGCTGTTGGATATCTTAAGCTAGTGGTGATGAAGCTAATCGTAATCAATGTTGAAAAGAGAGGCCTTGGTCTAGCTTTACTTGCCATAAATACTTGATTGTTGTCCAAGGTTAGAAAGCGCCGAGCAAGACAGGAGAGGAGGTCCTTCTGCCATACGAGAAAGCGCATTCAGTTCTGACTGAACGACCTAGTAGTCTGTAGTGTGTATCGAGGAAAACAAAGTAGAAAAGGTGTGCAGAAACTAGACTAAGGAATGTCGGCGTTGAAGAGTTTCGCCCGAAACTTTGCTCCAAGTCGTCGTCTAAAAAGTGGTCGATCTCCCACTGTAGAAAAAGTAGTTATACAGCTGCGCAACCGTTCCATTTCCGAACGTGCAGAGGACTGCGTGAAAGTTTCAACCTGTTACTTTCTCCGAAACCACGGGTCTATGCACGAGAGGATCCTTACGTCTATGTACTCAAACTCTACATCGATCGTTACCTAAGTTTTATATTTCATTTTTGGGCTTTGGTAAACTCTAGAAATAGTGCATTGAAAAGAAAGAAGCGTGGGAGCTTCACTTGGTGGCTGTAACTATATCAAACGAAAATATGGACAAAAGCAGAGCCAGCAGTATAGTGCGGCTGATGAGTCGGGAGTCCAATATGAAGAGGTCCTTCAAGTCCGATGAGGTTTTACTAGACCTGAGGATGTTGGAGGCGGAGTGCAGCGGCTCAGCGAAGTCACCGGTGGAAGAGAGCGAAGATGTATACTCCAAAGGGAATGCAATGCTGGAGCTTAATTTTGAGGTTAGTCAAGATCATGTTACGTTGAGAAGCGTGATTCCCGCTGCCAATTCCGAGTTGCCATTATTGGCAGCTGCGGAGATCCACGCGCGGGAAAAATGCGATTCGGTAGGGAGAGAGAGTCGTCCATCCAATTGGGGCAACTCTATGTCAGCCATCGTCTCAGGCTCAAGGGCTTCGTGTTCGACGTCGTTCCGGGAGAGCTTCATTACTGTGGGGAATATGGTGAAACAGTTGAGCAATGAGTTCCATCGATATCCACGAAGTGCTTCCAGGGTTCAAGATTTGGACAACTCCGTGGACGAGCGGGGAGTTCTGGATTCCGAGCTCGGAAACTGTGGCTCAACCAGGAAAATGCAAAAAAGTACTTCGCGCGCGGAATATGCAATCAAAGCTGTGCGGTGTATCAGCAAGGCCACTGCTACCGCAGACCAAAAGAAGTCGTGGCAGAAAGTAGAAGAACGGTTTCACAAGCTTCGTGACGCTGATTCTATGTTGCCTCGTTTCTATTTTCCCGAATGCATCGGTGCGTTGAATGATCCGTTGCATTTCTCTCTTGTTACGAAGGACTTCAATTCAACCAGGAACAACGGTAATGGAATGCTTTGTGTGGACATAATAAACAAGGATTGTTGCTTTGTTGTGTTCGTAGGAATGAAGGAATCCAAGGAATTTGCTCTGGAGCTCTTTGATGCGTTGGTGCGTCGTAAAGGCGAGAAGGTGAATAGCATCAGCAAAGATGGCTTATACCAGTTTTGGTTGGAAATCACAGATAAAAGCTTCGACGCCAGGATGCAGATGTTCTTTGACCTGTAAACTGCCCCGACCGTTTCATGAATCTTCCCCCTAGAAAGTTCATCTAAGTCCACCCTCTTTCCGTATTTCCTGTTTCCAGAGTTGAGTGTTAGGATTGATTTGAGGATGAAGAGGTGCTTTGGCTCAGCGTGTTCCTATTGATCATATTAGAATCTGATTTGAGTAAGCTGAATGGAAGAATTCTCGGATCCTTCGACAGGTGTGACAAGGATTTGGACGGTCGAATTTCAGGCGAGGAAGTGAAGCAAGTGATCATGTTGAGTGCAAGTGCGAACAAGTTGTCAAAACTGAAGGAGCAGGCGGCAGAGTATGCAGCCCTTATTATGGAAGAACTTGATGTGAATCGTAATGGTTACATAGAGGTAACACTTGAAGTCTTCCGCAATCACCCCCATCTGTACTCGAATTTTTAGATTCTCAACAGTAGATGTATTACATCTTTTGTAAAAGTTACAGATTAAATTGACTTTGATGTACGCAGTTGAGTCATTTAGAGACATTGTTGCGCGAATCGGTGTTGCCGGGGCATGGAAAAGAGGCAACAATGAACAACCACCAATTGTTGATAAAGAGGAGCAAGCGATCCAGGATTCGCAGCTTCGCTGAGAAGACGAGGAACTGCTTTCAGGATAATTGGAAACGGTTGTGGATATTGGCTCTGTGGATGATGGCCATGACAGGACTTTTCATTTGGAAGTTTTTTCAGTATCGGGAGCACGCTGCGTTTCCAATCATGGGCAACTGTCTTTGCGTCGCCAAGGGCGCAGCTGAGACTTTGAAGCTGAACATGGCGCTCGTTCTCCTGCCCGTTTGCCGCAACACGCTCACACGGTTGAGGTCCACGCGATTAGGAAAGATCATTCCTTTCGACGACAATCTCGACTTTCACAAGGAAAGTCTCTCCTGAATCAGAGTGATTAAGCTGGAATCGATCGCTAGGTGGTGAAGCCGTGAGAGAAATTTGTTGAGGCATCTGACAGGGATTGCAAAAGTGGTTTTACGCAGATCATAGCCGGAGGTATAGCAGCCGGGGTGTTCATTCATGGTGTTTGTCACATAACCTGCGACATTCCCAAATTCGTCGAAAGTGGCGATGATAAATTCTTCAAGTACCTCGGCGACGAATTCGAAAAGCACCCAACCTACGCTAACATTGCAGTGATGCCAGTGGCGATCACGGGTATTCTCATGGTGGTTTTCATGATAATTGCCTTCTTACTAGCCACTCACTGGTTCCGTCGCAGCATGGTGAAGCTTCCGTGGCCATTGCAGCGTCTGACGGGATTCAATGCATTCTGGTATTCACATCACCTGTTCGTGATTGTATACGCACTCCTCATGGTCCACTCCATCAAGCTACTTCTTGCTGGTCCATGGTACAAGCGAACGGTATGGGTTCTTCTTACGCCAATCCAAACCGATGTCGCTCAAATTGCATATGGAGTTCAAAACTTGCGAATGTGTCAACGTTCGTGTCTGAGCTTCGAGGTGTGTGTGGGTGCAGACATGGATGTACATCGCTATCCCCTTACTTTTATACGCAGGCGAACGGATGCTGCGATTGTACCGCACCAACTCCAGCAAAGTGGAGATCGTGAAGGTGGGGATTCATCTTCCACTGTGTTCTGTGCAAGTGGATCTAATGACTTGGCAATTTCTGATACTTCCATTCAGAAGTAGAATTGACATCGCTCCTGGTCGAAGCAGGCTGCAATTTACACCGGTAACGTCCTTGCTATCCACATCACAAAACCCCAGGGCTTCAAGTACAAGAGCGGCATGTACCTCTTCTTGCAGTGCCCCCAAATCTCCTCTTTTGAATGGCACCCATTCTCCATAACGTCTGCCCCCGGTGACCCTTTCCTCAGTGTTCACATCCGCACACTGGGTGACTGGACTGCGGAGATGAAGAAAATCTTCTCTGAGGCTTGCGGTGGACGAACGTGCCTTCAAACTATCAACAATTATGGCCTCAGTGGTGAGCTGACTCTAGCTGCAAGGTACTAAATGATCACCACGGTATTGGACTTCACCAAAAAGACCTTAGAATGCTTTGGTATGACTCAATAATAGAGCGTAGTATACTTTCAAGCGCTTGTCTCACCAATTGTTGTGTGTGTCTGCAGATTCCCAAAGTTGTTCGTCGATGGTCCGTATGGAGCTCCCGCTCAAGACTACCTGAAATATGATGTGCTGCTCCTGGTTGGACTCGGAATTGGAGCAACGCCATTTATTAGTATCCTCAAGGACATGCTTCATCACACCAGATATGACCTTTCTGATCCGGTAATGAAACCATGTGATCGTGAATCATGTCGTTTGAGAGCTCCGTTTGCTTCCCCTAGCATTTTGCTTCGAGTAATGGTTCCTTATAACACTGCTTTATTTATATTCAAATCATTCATTTTCTGTTTGCAGAGCTTAACACCAAGTTTACGCCCAACCGAAAGTCCAAAGAAAAAGAAGAAAAGCAAGAGGAAACCGAAAGCTTACTTCTACTGGGTCACACGAGAGCAAGGCTCCTTCGACTGGTTCAGAGGAATCATGCGAGAAGTCGAAGAGATCGATAACAAGGAGTCCATTGAGATGCACAATTATTTGACTAGTGTGTATGAGGAAGGTGATGCTCGCTCGACGTTGGTCACGATGTTACAGTCGTTGTATCACGCCAAGAACGGAGTCGACCTCGTTTCCGGGACTCGAGTATGTGTCATTCAACACCAGCTTCCATCTTTCTCCGAAAGTTTCTGTTCAGTTCCATGATGTACCCATCTCTTTCCGCAACGTCAACTCACTGAACTAACATGTTTTCTTCCTTAATCCTCGCAGGCACGGACACATTTTGCTAGGCCCAACTGGAAGGATGTCTTTGCAAATCTAACTTTCACTCACCCTGAAAAGCGAATCGGTAAGAAATGATCTGAAGCAAACTTGAATTTTCTGAATCAACGTTTTGGTTAGTTTATGGGTCGGAGTCATTCATTTAAGGGTTGCTAAGCTAAAAATTTCCATCGTGCAAGTTTCGCAGGGGTTTTCTACTGTGGCCCTGCAGCACTAGTAAACGAGCTTGAGACTCTATCTCGAACCTACACAAAGGAGTCGTCCACAAAATTTTCCTTCCACAAAGAGAATTTCTGAATGGCCGGTTTATGCTCGAGTGTGAAGATGTGTTTAATCAGAGGGCTGTACTATATACATATATGACGATTAACACAAGTAGGTGCCCGGTGTCTGCCACTCGCTCATTATATTACTGAAAACCTTCAAACATGCAGAATCTCATTGTTTATGTTGAGATTCAGATTAATTCAAGAGTATGGATTAGAAATAATATCCGCTATTCAATACTAAATGTAGCAACTTAGCGGAGATTAGTAACTAATCTTAGCTCTATGTCGATAATTCATGCCATTCAGCCTCCTCGTTAGGGGGATTAGTCACTAATGACCTCAATATTTGTTTCATAAAATCTGGCTGCAAAGCCTCCAGCTTCTCATGGGACATCTTTCTCCTCTAAACGTTCAATTCCTTGTCTGCGTATTAAAGTATGATCACCAAAGTCATCGTAGCACAGAGTCTAAAAATCCTAGTCTAAACAGCATCACAGTTGACAATTTCGTTATACCCTGCCTCAATTATTAATTTTATGTTTACTATGTATCTGAGATCACCACCCACAGAAGCCAATCCTCATTTATGAGTCTTTTCGGGCTTTTTCAATCCTTCCACACCATCATCGCAAAAAAGTATGGGAAGTTCCAACTGCTGCTACAACGCCACAGATATCTTAGGAGAAGCACCTCAACGACTGTAACTACAAAATGCTGATTAGCAGGTGATTCTTAAGTGGAACTTGTGTGGTAAGGTCAAAGGTGGAGACTTAAAAAGCTCATGTAAGCTTCTCAGTTGGTAGGTTTTGCATAGTCTTCTTCTCTGCATTATGTAATGTTCTATTTCTGTAGCTCTGATGAAAAGTGCACCTTTTACACAAGGGACTTTGACCAAAAAAAAATCAATTTGGTCACTTCTTTCTTCTATTGTTTATTTTGTTCTTTTCTCTTCTTTGCTTACTATTGTTGTTTTCCTTTTATTCTCTTCTTACTTTTTAAGCAAATAAAAAGATTACACTATGCAATGACTTTTATTGCAAAGATTTTAATACCAGTTTTAGACTTTGTTGTTGATTTAGTCTCTTGTTTGCATGCCATCTTTTTAAAAATATTTCTTAAAGAATTGATTTGATTTTAATAGCTTGATATTATTGGTTAGAATTCTATTCTACATTAATTGACTATATTCTATCATTAATTGTCATATCTTATTGATTACCTAAGCTTTAGTTCATTTGTTGAAGTTAAAGGTCATATTATTTTTTTATACTTAAAGTGATTGTAAAACTTCTTCTAATCTATTGCACACTATACCAACTATAGTAATTATTATAGACCACACTATTTAGTAATCTATAATATTTATGGCTTGGAATAAATAGAATCAACTATACTATTTATAAATATTCTCAAATAGAATAGACCAAGAGTATATTGCTCAAATATACACTATAGTAGCAATTGGATAAGAGATGGTTGCCTATCAAATGTTGTAACAAACTAATTTGGCTATACATTAATTAATAGAGACCTCAATATATAAGAATCCATACTATTTTGCAATGTATACTAATTACTATAGTTGGTGTAGCTTAATTTAACTTAACATCCTTTAGAATCTATAGCTAGCTTGTAATGTAATCTTTACAATTAAAAGAAAATATTGATATTTATTAAGATCTAATTTTAACAAAAAATATTATTATTTAATAAGAAAATATAAAAAAAATTAAGGTTTTTTGATTAATTAATTTTTTTGTTATATTTAAAACTTGATAGAATTTAAAAGGACTTGGTATTAATAAAAAATTGATATAATTAAAAAAACTATATCTTTTAAAAGTATTACATAATATTTAGCATATCAAATAATTAAAATTATTATTTAATAGATTAAAAATTATTTCAATAATTAAATTAAGATAAAACTCCTATTTACTTTTGATATTTATTTGCATATATAAATTAAAATAAGGATGCTAAAAAAATAAAAAATAGGATTTTTAAAATTTAAAAATAATAATATAATAAATAATTTGAGGTCTTTTGAATTATTTCTCTATTAAGGGTTATTTACAAAACCATTGTGGTATTATAATAGTCCCAAGTAGTATACATCTATGTGTAGTTGAAATTAATTTGTAGAATTAAAAATATATTTAAATAAATTAGAACAAGAAATTTGGTAATATTTTTCCTAGTAATATTTATTTTAATATTTATTTCTATTTTTTTAAAAATTAATCTTTATAGATGATAGAATAAATACAAGATATAAACTTATGGATGCTTTACTTACTTATATGTAGAATATGTACTTTACTTACTTATATTGTTTCAAAATATATGTAAATAAAATAATATATATTTATTTTAAAACTTTACTTTGATTAGAATTACAAATATAAAATATTATTTTGTAGATTTGAAGAATGCAAAAATAATTAATTATTTTAGAAGTTCAATAGATCAAATTTTTAAGTATAGATAATGATTTTTTTAATTTTTTTTTATTATTAATTTTTTTTATAATTTACTCACACAATATAATTGCATTCAATATTTTAAATTGCATTTAATATTTCTTATTTATATGATTATTTATAACTATCGATTTTCATAATTATTAGTTTTGTATATACCTTTTGTTTGTTATACTTGTCAATGTACTTTTACAATTCTAATTGTCCATGTATATTTTCAATGACTATTTTGTTTTAAATGATTTTTCTTAGATATTCTTGTTTATATTGCTTAAATCAAGGAACTTAATTTAAGAAATTTCTATCTTCTTTTGTATAATTGGACTAATGTGTAGGATGTTATAACTTGTTCTTAAGTGTGTCTTCTTTTTAGATTTTTCTTCTTCAATAGTTTGTGCTATTTTAGAAATATTAATTATTAAATTTTAATTTTTTATCCTTCTAGTTAAAGTATTTTTTTTAATAGTATTTTTGTCTTTGTTTAGTCCTAGATGTATATTACAACCATGAAGTGTTAAACATTATTTAGCTCGTTTTTTCTATCACTTTGATTTTTTTCAGTTAAAGTGCTAAAAAAACCATCTTTATCAAATAATATAATATGTATTTAAATTATTTAAGTATAAAAAATAAATAGATATAGATATATATTAAGTACCTAATTTTATTTTATTATATATATTATATACCTAATTTTATTTTATTATGTATATGTTTTAGTATTAAAATTTTAAAATAATTAAATTTAGTATCATATTAGTATTTGAATCTCTACTAAAATTAATGAGGTAATAAAAATTTCTAAAAATAAAAATTTATAAATATATATATATATATATATATATATATATACATGAGAATTTTAAAATGACTTAGATTTTTACTAAAATAATCAACCTATCATCACAAATCAATATATAGATTGTACAAATCTTCTTCATCATTAAAACCATCATCCACATTTGGATTAACAAAATCATGATTTTTTATATGATTCCAAATAGTTTTTAATTCCTATTATTAATATCTATTTTTATTTATCTTATCTTATTATATCAATAAGTATTTATATACTTAATATTCTTCCTGTTAATCATATACTATAATTTGTTTTTTTTTAAAATTGAATGTAGTATATAAAAGAGAGAGAATTATGTATTCTATAATTATTTGTAATTTGCAATAGAAAGTGAGGCATACATGTCTACACCAACAGAAGAATATTTTAAAGGTATAAAAGAAACATAAGATAATATAAATATATTTGTATATAGTCAAGGATATGTTAATTTGACAAAGATCACATTAACTTTGAGTGTGATAGAGAATAAGTTTACTATGAGTAAAATTATCATACTCATCAATGAAATAATATAAGTCAATTGATTGGGTGTCTATTTACATTACGTGCACATCATTTGCAAAGTAGTATATAATAACACTTGAGAGTTTGAAATAGTCTTCATAATCATGCACATTCTTTTTTTTTTTCTTTTAAGTCATTCATTTGCTTAGCATCTTTAAACTAGCAAAGAAAGAAATTACATTACAATTTCTTGCCACAAGGATTTTGACAAAAAATATTGTCATTGCTTTGTAAAGATTGATTCTAATAGTAAAGTTATTACTCAAACTATTTATAATTAACTATAAAATTTACATCTTATTATGCTACTTGGACATTCACCTATTATTTGCCTTATGAAAACTTTACATGCTATTAAATATTATTTTATTTATTGATGTGATGTTAGGGACATATTCCTTAGAACTTTCTAGAGAGAAGTTTCTAGAACCTTCTAGAAAACAAGCCTCTGGAACCTTCTAGAAGAGAAGCCTCTGGAACCTTTTAGAGAGAAGTTTCTAAAAGCTTCTAGAAAGGAAGTCTCTGGAACCTTCTAGAAGAGAAGTTTCTAGAAGCTTCTAGAAAGGAATCCCCTGGAACTTTCTAAAAGCTTCCTAGTTAATAGAAGTAGCTCGAGAAGTTTCTAGAACCTTCTAGAAAGGAAGCCTCTGGAACCTTCTAGAAGCTTCCTAGTTAATAGAAGTAGCTCGAGAAGCTTCCTAAGTAGGAGTATATATAGGGATCGAGGCTGAAGAGTTCTTCAGTCTCGACAACACATCTCTTGGAGTTCTAGCTCACCTTTCTGGTGTTGTTCTTGTACTCATCTGTTTAATCTAGTTCTGCAACTTCTTCTTGAACTTCTTGTTAGATTTTAAGTGTGTATTTTGTGTCCGTGACAGTTTGTCGAGACTACACTAACTTGAGATATCAGAGCTAGTTCTTTCTTAGTAGAGTGTGGATTACCCCTCTACTTGAAGGTATACTAGCATTTTTTAGAGGTTGCGGATTACCCTCTTCTAAACTGATACTTCTTCTGTTACAATATTGGAGTCTTATTCTTCTTGGAGAGAGTGGATTACCCCTCTTCTTGAAATTCTTAAGGCGTTTTATAGGTTGTGGATTATCCTCCTATAAACCAATATTGCCTCTTATAGGGTCATTTTTGTCCTTCTTTTAGAATGGCCGGAGGTCAAGACATTAGTATGACAGAAAGTTCGGAGTCTAAGTTAGATGCTATTATGAATGCCCTCGCTATGTTATCACAAAGAACTGCAGAGATTGAAGGAGTGGTGGCAAGGCTTCATAATGATGGAATATCTGGGATAACACAAACTAAACTACACCAGCCTCAAATTTCGACACTTGGAGAAACAACTTTACCTCAGGTTCGACAAGAACCACTAGTTCTACAATATAAGGAGCCTCGAGTTAGCCTTCTAGATAAGTTTGATGGAATACGTTCCAAGTTTCGAGGATTCGTCAATCAAATCAGGTTGATAACAGTTTTACAGCCCGAAAGATATCCAACGAAGGAGTCACGTGTTGGACTTGTTGGAAACTTACTT